AGTGCACGAAACGTACGAGAAAAAACGGGGAAGTATTGGGGTTATTCTGTGAAGTTGGCGACGAGTTTGAAAGAAGTGCTTGATAGGTAAGATATGTTCGAATTTAAGAACGACTTCGTTCGTCGGTGTATTGGAATTTTTCAGAAAGAAATTCGATGTAATCATTGGTACGTCCCCACGAGGGGAACCCGTCACCAATATGTTTCTCAATACTTTGAACGACATGTAAGTTTCTTATTTTGTGACATCTACTTTTTTTCTGAAATGCTTATTGCGAAAGATAGGCTCCGATGCACGCAGTTGTTCGCTTGCTCAATATATTCAATGTTCAGCCAAGTGCTGCTGGTTTTTGGTGGCGTTTCTGGAGTTGACGCCGCGCTTGAGGCCGGAAGAAGCACTCACAGAAACGCGAGCTGAAGAAGCCTTCGATAGGCTGGTGAACTCTCTACCAAATAAAGGAACAAATAGCGAGCGAGTAGAAGAAAATGTTTTCATAACGCTAGCGGAAGTCACTATGCGATTACAACAGCTGTGTTCGCAATGATGCTATAACAGTATTCTTCCCATTTATTTTATTTACATTGTTTTTCTTTTCTCTCGTACGCTTATTTCGGTGACCAATTCAAGTGAATTACCCCTAAGCTATCGTTGTTAGGTCAGTTTATGCTATACATTTTTCAAAAAAATTAGAAATTTGTGATGCGTTTCCCTTTTCATGTCAAACATAAACTAAGAAAAGCATCTCCCTTCTTGATTCTCTGTATTATTACCCGAATTTAAGAATTTCTACGATTAAATTTTCATTAATATTTTTCTCACATAGATTCTATCAATTGTTATGATTCCCAGTTTGTTCCTTTGTTATTGTTGTTGTGTTAATGCTGTTATTTTCGCAGGCTGCTCTTGATAAAACAGATCTCTTTTTGACATGAAGGATCCTATGCCAACCGTATCTCGGTTGCTATATTCAATTCTGATCGACTGCAGTGTTTTCAAATATTGAGTGTTCAGAGATTCGCATGTTGTCAATATTTTCAAAAGTGCTCCACAGCACTTCTCGTTATGCAGCAGTCCCTAGGAGTGCTTTGGTACGTGTTTCATGATTATATGAAATAGTTTACTCGGCTGAAAAGAGGAAGTATTCGATGGAATCAGCCTTCTTCAAAATCTTTATGAATTCCCTTTTCTTCGGTGCCTTCGATCCAATGTTCTCCGACAATCTTCCTTAGTTGAAATATTTGTTAGTGGCAGGAATATTTAACTAATATAGAAAAGAGAGTGTAGAATGGATGGGAGAAATCCAGTGATAAGCTCGAAAACATCAGCTTTTCATTTCAGAACCCTTGAATGGGGCTGGATTTAGTTTTTTTTTTCTGACAAAAGTTGAACCATCATGTTACTATGAAAAAGTAAGGACGAGCTTCATACGTTGCAAGAAACAATTAAGAGCATGATCTCAGGATCGAGTGATCAAAACGTCTCTACACTAGAACTGCATGCGAAATGCCATGCGAAGTATGACCACGTCTCAGCGTGCAGTTTTTGCCAACACTCACCCTTAATTCAAATTTTTTTGACTTGATTACAGCTATTTCTATAATGTTTTTATACTGCTGTATGGCCAGACGGAGCAGGAATGTTTAAAGGAGGCAATCCGAAAAATGTTACAAGAAGTGGGCGGTTACGCATTGTTCGTACATTTTTTTTCAGTTTCGTGGTCCGTTTCGATGTGACGTTTTTATGAACCGATGCGAAAACCACTTACATATAATGCCGAGAACATTCACTTCACAGGTCTCGTCAGCGAAACCTACAGAAACGATATAAAAAGGCTAGGAGAAAGAGTCAGTTCCGCTATAGTTATTTTTTAAATTTCTGTGGTGAATGCCACTTGAACTGCTTCTTGTGCTCTTCTTTTTCTTTTTGCTTCCATTGAAATCAGGTAATCGTTTAATAAATTTCTTATCACAACTGTTCATTTAAAAAAACTTTCGATCATGTCTTTTTCTTTCTTTTTCTTCATGATAAAAACTCTAGTTAACAAACTCGTCTCACTAAAGGATTTATATTAATGGGAAAGCTTCTGTAGCTCCTCTCAT